CTATTGCTGAATAAAGATAGGGGAAACATCCTAAAAAAAATGAATTAATTACTTCTAAGCAGTACGGACTGTCACACTTACAAACGCTTCAAGGCCTCCAAGTTCTTGAAAGCTCCTACTGGAATGCGTTGAAGTTTATTATTATGAAGAAATCTGGAAAAGAAAGAAGAAATTAGTAAGTGTTCTGAGTTTTGTGTTTGCAGTCTGCATTTATTTTTTACAGACAACACAAAGACACACGCAAGAGTATATTTTCTTAATATATATTTCACGTCATCTTGAAAACATGCTTATGTATGTGTTTGTCATCTACAAAAATCTGCCAGTAACTCTCATATTTATTTCACTCTTTCGGGAAAGAAAATAACAAAATTTTGGGATGGGGATGAACGGAGAAGAGTACCCCATCATTTCACTTCAAAAAAGACAAAATAATGCAAAATTCCATATTAAGGTACAAGTATTAAAAATATTTGGTAAATATGTCCTCTGTACAATCGATACTCGAAGGTAATTGTAAAATGTGTTAGATGTAGACTGATGCGGATTTTCCAAATTTGCAAAGACTGTATACACATCACAGAGATTGAGCCCATTTAGTTCAATTAGATCTAGTTATGTTAATTTCTGTCATGTTTGGCATAATATCACTTTTATCTTTTATTAAAATTGTTTCTATAGAAAAAGGGTATTTTTATCTGCCTTGATTTAGAATGGTAATGCACTCAAAATCCATTTTTTTTGGCTTATAAAATTCCTATTGCAGAAAAATACTTCAGGCAAAGACCCTTATTTTGGCTTAGTATAGCTCCGTATCTTATTATAGGGCATTTTAATTAATTTACAAGAATTTTACTTTCACATTTGTACCAGGCTGTTCATGACGTAATAAATAATATTTGTATTTATAACTGTTGTTATACAAACAAAGTTGCAAAGCCCATGCAGTATAGTAACAATACACAACAATGGACTTGCATGTGCAGTCATGCAGAAAGATCACAAAAACAAAATGTTTAAATTAAAACCAAAACTGTGTGAGAAGGAGATAGACCAAACACCATTGTTAAAGAGTAGAACTAATTAGGGCCATAAAACACGCAATTAATGAAACATCATACACCCCCTCCCTCAGAATGAAATTCATCATGACATCAATCAGAGGTGTAACTGGCACTAGTCTGTTTGCAATGCCCCCCTGATCTCCTTCGTGGCAGTATTTATGAAATGGAATTATTTGGCCACGTGTCAAATCCGAGTTAAAAACGTTGAAACATAAAAAATATAACAATAAAAAACATGCAAGTGTAATAATGACAATCACAAAAAATATTTTGGACTAAAGTTGGTCATTCTGAAAGTCTACAATTAATGGTATACAGATATGCAATTTGAATGATTAATAATGGAAAAAATGGCAAATATAAATGTAATTAATTGGGAAAATTATGACAGCTGCAGAAAGTACGCGTAAAACAGATGTAACGTAACTGGGCTACAATGAGATGTCACTACATGTCTAGAAATACCTTCAACAAACCTAACTTAACTTTCCTCCAAGGACACAGGAGATCAGATGGTGCATGCAAGAGGGCTACATAGTGGAACCACGTGCAAGCCGATACAACAGAACTAAACCCAACCATCACTCCTTTTACTTACAGTCGTTCGAGATTCCTTAATTCGCTAAACACCCCTGGGCCTAAATTTTCAATCCTGTTGAAATGCAGGTATCTGGGGGGAAGCATACAAATAGCGTCATTAATACAGGACTAGCTATCTCTGCCTCACACACATATGAACCGCTAAGAGTCTGTACAAAAGCCAAGGCTACATTAGGCCCCTCTGATACATTGTTTTAAGTTCTTATCACGGGTGAGTTGGCAGCAGACAGGGTCAGACGATATGCTGCCAAATCTGGCTTAATGTTCACTGCGGATCATGTCTTTCCTCAGGCACACCATAAATGAATTATGATGCCTTAAAATATTAGTTCCCAATCTCTATTAAAATGCAAACGCACAAATGACAATACAATTTCTTAATTTTAGAAAATATGAAGCCATTTCCATTTCTAAATTATAATGGCTATCATGTCCAAACATATTCTATGTAATTCCTGGTCTTACCGCTCAAAACTATTCATTTGTCCTTCTTCTAGTGACATCTGTTGGACAGTTCAACAACTTGATGCTCTGACAGACTGCATAATAGATGGCAGCAGTGTTCTTTCTACATATCACAAAACTTCTATTCCTGAGAACATGATATATAACTTCTTTTACGCGTGAAATAATATTGTAAAATCCATGATTCACATTCTGTCTGAATAGCTCAAAAGATGGTTAAGCTAATTATAAAATGTCTAAAATAATTAGTGTGGGGGAGGAACAGACCCTTGTGAACATAAGTCAGAGGACAGTGTTGCACCTCTCTGCCCATGACTCCTGTTTAAAATTTTATTACTGTGTAGTCAAGTTTTTTGATGCAGATTTCTCATCTTAAACCTAACCTTACTTACAATCTCTCTAATGAGGGTAAATTAGAAAATGTATCAGGCTCAATATCCACGAGTTCATTAAAGTGCAGGTATCTGGAAAAGAAACAACAGCATTAAATTTAACAGCTAACAGCAAGTGGATCCCACGAATAAACCTGAAAAACACAAAACACAAAGCAAAGACAATACAACAACTATACACATAAATATCCAAAAACCGTAAAATTTCACTAAGGGTTTAAAGTTTTCACAGAGATGAAAATTTAGACAGTGGTATATTCTATGTTATTGCAGCACGCACTCCTTCAGCTTTTTACCATCTTCAGGTAACAAAAGACTTAAATGCTTGAATATGCATTTGTTCATACCATAAGACAGCGTTTTAAGAACTTCAAAAATGGGTGAAGATAACACTGAAACAGCAGAAATGGGAAAAGAATGAAGAATAATGAGGAAAGGAAATAAACATACAAAAGGGGTAAATGAATTCCATATCATAACTACATGAGCCGGGATAGCTCAGTCAGTATAGTGACTAGCTACGTAGACGACCGGGGTTCGATCCCCGACGGGGGCAGAGGACTTTTTTCCTCTACCCTCCGCGTCCAGACCGGCTCTAGGGCCCACCCAGCCTCCTCTACAATGGGTACCGGGGGTAAAGCCGGCCGGGGCGTGATGCTGACCACTCACCCCCATCTAGTGCGGAGGTCAAGAAAGAGTATGAGCTACACCTCCGCTCAAAAAACCTGGTGTGAAGATATCTGTAAGGGCATAAACCTCACACTACAAAGGTCAATGGCTTAGAAGTTGTTTGGACAGAACATATACATAACTATTTCGTAAACCATCTTCAGACACACTTTCCAACGGAACCTGTAACAGAGCTCTAGCAAGTTATCGAGGAACATAACCAAAGCAGGCACAAAAAAGGCTAAATGTTAATGTAACTGAAGGCAGTACAACCAAATTTCTCTACCTATATTATTACGAACTTTCCTCTACAATAAGTATACTGAAAGTCCTGGAATTTTGTATGCAAAATAACCCCTTTTGCATGTAAATTCTGACAAGGGAATTACAGAAACTCTCGCTCATTTATGCAGCATTATTGTTGCATTGAATTCTGCCAGCATCAGAGGGGCTTAAGCAGTATTCCAACACTTACATTACACTTTTACAAGATCTGTATAGTGGAACACGAATGATCTAAAATATAATGTCCTGGTATCCCAAGAAATGAATACATATTCGGAAGAAACTTCACTGGCATTTCTTAATACATACAGACCTAAGGCTAGCTCAACCAGGGGGCCAAACAGATAAACTTTCTGTTCTCTTCCCCCCCTTTTCACTTGACGACAGAAGCAGAATCCAGCTTCTGAAAAGTCTTAGTTTTATTATTTTATAATTTCGACAACGGGCAAAGTCCAAAAGAACAATTTTACATTTCGTAACCCACCATCACCTTCAAACATCAAAAGCACCAAAGCTCGATACTTACAGCTGCTCCAGCTTTGTGAGCCCTTGGAACACCTTGCTCTCGATCTCCCTTACCCGATTCTTGTACAAGTACCTGGCAAGGAGGCACAATGTTATAACATGCTGAAGCGGTGGACTTAGAACATACATGTCAGTCATCGATTAAATCAGCGGCTTATTTATATCTCTGTGGGCAAAAAATATTAAAGTCAAAGCCAAGCTACATATTTTCAATTATACGAGAAACTTCACTTTCAGGTATGAGAAATAAAGCAAAGTAAAATAAAGCTGTCCCATTATACTGACTGAGCTACGCTGACTCATCAGGTATGAGAATGTACTGGGATACTGGGAACGACCCGGTCTTCAAGTGCCTGAGCACTGCGGGTCCCAACTTTTCGTTGGCTTGATCCATAGACATTTTGTAGGACTCCTTGGATGAGGGATCGGCCCGTCGCAAGGCCTCTACCTATTTACAGGACAGCACAACACAGAAAAACATCCATGGCTTGAGTGGGATTCGAACCCACGGTCCCAGCGACCGCGCGGCCACTGCGGACCCCTAGTATGAGAATGTTAAAATGATAATTATTTTTCTCTGGAGGACACGCAGAGCAGTAGATTTTGTTACAGGTAAAATTAATAAAAATTTAAATTCAAATAAGATTATTTCAAGTTTGTTCCATGGAGTACACATGGGGGAAGCAAGAAATATATACAAAATACTGACTAAAAATCTTTATAGATGAAATGCACAAGTCACTCAGAAGACAGAGATTCGAGTTGAATCGATAGAACCTGAACAATGCAGTGAGGACTTGGATTATATTGTACTGAAGGATTTTTGTGATGATTGTGATGAACCAATGGGTTCTATAACAACATATAAAGGACTACTGATTGTATTATTCAAACAAGTTAGTCAATGAGTTAATTATCAGCTTATCAATTGGTAAATCAATCCATTATTTAGTCAACTCGTGACTCAATAAGTCGGGCAACAGAAATAAGAGGCTTAATTTAGTTTCTGGTTAGTGACCTAGTTTCATTCAAGATGGCAGAAGCACTTTCCAGTGATTACGTCGTACTGTGAAATGTGGGACATGCCAAACAACAGTGCTCTCTCCGAAAGATTAACTCTGTTGTTCACGACTGCTGTAGCCAATTGCAGAACGTGTAAACTATCTTATTCAGACACTACTACACAGCACATGATGCAACTAAAAAGCATCAGATGCCACAATAAACAATAATTCTAATTTATAAGATAATATAAAGCACGAGTTCTCAACCTTTCAATATCTGGGGGAGTACAAATGTTTTTCAAGCTCTCACTCTGCAAATTTCTACTCCCCTATGGTTTTCTTATCATTTTATAAAGATACAAATTAATTTATATCTTGGCGGGATCTACGTTTCATGCTACATGCAGATTATTTGTACAAGTAACCATTTAGCCAGTACTGGAAGGAAAATTATTTCCAGCAATGTTTCCAGGCATGACAGCAACGCTGAAATACATACAGAGTACTCTGAAGGTGATCGTAAACACTACACTTTGTCTCAGCTAAGAATTATCCCCACCTAAACAGAGGGGCGGAATTCACCTCAAGCCATGCGACGTGATTGGTAGAGAAGAATTTACACATGCGTGATGTTTGTAAGGTGCACGCTGAGTTTTTGCATCATCATTTCCTGATAATATGCATTTTATTCTGGATGTTTAAAATAAATTCACGGGAGGGATTAATAAACTCTCAAAAAGTACAGCGAACATAAAATATTGGTCTGTATAATCCCCTGGCCAGTATACAACAGGGCAGCGATTATCAAAAAAATAGTACAGTGTGTTCATAATGTCCCTTCGGGGTTTTGAAAAATTGTGGCGCGCGAACAAATTGAGCTAGCCACATGCGGTTTGCGGCAGATTACAGTGAAACTCTGGAAGTTTCATGTGGTGGGCACTAGGTGATGGCAGCTCCTTTTTGCTTACATCGGGGTCCTTCTTGGGTGACAGAGAACAACGGGTAATGACCGGTACATAAAGATTATTGTGCGTAATACTCACAGGTATCTAAGGTCCTTAAGGCCATTGAACACTCCATTTTGCAGACGGATGATATGATTGTTGTTCAGCAGTCTAGACACAAAGAGGCATATTGATTTAATTCTTACTACACGAAGCAGGTACCAGTATTAATATGATTCATGGGGGGTGAGCGTGATGATGTTCAGACCACCGTATACTTACAGGGTGTTCAGATGTTTTAGGTTCTTGAATGCGTTGGCTGGAATTTCGCGAATCTTGTTAAACCTCAGGTCCCTGCAACAAACATAAATATGAGTTAATTTCCTTTGGACTGGGACATATATTTTTTTTCCTGCGCACAGAGTTTGTATAGTATTAAACGGCGTGTGCAGTGATATGTTACATTTTAAATGCACAACAATTTCTACATCAAAAAGTAACAATTTTGCAAAAAAAGTACAATAGTGAATTAAGATCTGCTACAGCAAATCTGGTATGTATGTCCTCTAAACACATACGAAAAGTTTCAAAGAAATTTCCGGAGTATATCTTGAAGAAAATGTAAATATATCTGAGTATTGTTTCACGGTTTAAAAAAGTTGTCAGTGGAACCACGGTTCCGGAGAATTTGACGTAAATACGTGTATACGGAAAGGAAGTTTATATATTGGCTTTATTCTAAATATTTCCTTTATACATGCTTTACAATTGAGATACGTTTGATTAAGACATTGCTTATTTAACTTGAATTAGTTACGCTTAAGATGGGTCTGTGGTAGCTGAATGTAATATTAAGTAATGTAATGTAAGGTAAGGTAATGTAATGTTTTATAGGTAACAATAATGCCGAGATGACGTTTCGTAGGTAACCATTATTACACTTTTTCGTTTCCCTTTTTCGTTACACATTTTTGCCGAATGACCCTTCCTTATAGACATATTTACGTCAAAAAAGTTACAAATTCTGGGGGGAAAGTCACAGAACTCTGTGATACATCTTCAACACACTTCTACATGGAGTCAAAAGCGTAGAAGTCATAAGCAAGTACGATCCACCAAATATTATGACGATCAGATAGAAATGCATACAATATTTTGGTTAGAAAGTCTTAAGGGAAGATACCACTTAATAGACCTAGGTGTGTATGAAGGAGGAGCGTATGGGACTGGATTCAACTGGCTCTGGATAGTGACCGGTGGCGTACTCGTGTGTACACGATAATGAAAATTCTGACTTCAAGAAAAGAAGGGAATTTCTTGACTAGCTAAGAGTACTATTATTAGCTTCTCACGAGGGACCGTGCACCATGGAGTAACAACAAGTATAATAATAGTTCTCTTGACGGAGAACCAATTCACAGCAGTGAAGAATTCAACCTTTACGGGGAACGTGTTGCCATCTGCAGTTTCAATATAAAACTATAAGTAGCAGTAGTGGTAACATAATTTATACAACTTTATGTATGGCTGACAGACAATTCCCGGTGGCCAGAACGTTGAAATTCCCCCCTTTACGATGTATTTTACGACAGAAATTAAATTTACTCCCGCTACAGCAAGGTAAGTTTCTCTCAGAGATCACAAAGTCGTTAGCTCGCCAATAAATCTCCAGTCAAACTGCCCGAGTCGCATTATCGTAGCCACATTTCTACTCTATTCGTAGTTCTCCATGTATGCACCCAACTCCTCGGCCCACTGAACAAGACGTGTTACCCGACGCACACGATTTCCTCAAAATTCCGCTTCACTGGCTCCCCTTTGAAATTGAAAACGTCTTCTATTAAAGCAAGTATATAAATATACCTACTGTAGAAAACAATATGACACCCAAACAATGGGATACATCAACACAATGAGACACAATAAACAAAGGACACAACAAAAATCATAAGACACAACATACAATGAGATCATCAACACAGAGACAGAACAAAACAATAAACAAAAGGACACAACAAAAACAATATGACACAAACAATGGGATACATCAACACAATGAGACACAACAAAACAATAAACAAAGGACACAACAAAAACCATAAGACACAACATACAATGAGATACATCAACACAGAGACAGAACAAAACAATAAAAAAGGACACAACAAAAACAACACATCCCACTCAAAATCAACCAACTCATAAATTACAAAACCATCCAACCTCAAGTACTTAACTTAAAAAAAAGAACTTAATACCACCTAGACATAAGACAACAACTGTAATGTATTACAAACGTCATGAACTGATGCACTCACACAACAATACAACATACCACACTCAAAATAAAACATCTGACACACAATAAAAAAAACACACATCCACTAATTAATCACAATACTTAGAGTAGAATAGAATGAACAGAAGCTGGCATAAACGACAAACAAACTATTCTATTGTTCTCAATCTACTTTATATATTGAACTCTCCACTTTCCCTTTCAGGGCGTTTAACAACCAGTGGTAACTATATGCACCACCTGCTTTAATTACCAGTACCAGGGCTGAACCTTTAATTTTTCAACAATGAATCTTCGTTTCAGAAGATAAAACCAAAAACACTTAGATGGGACGCATTGTTCCAACAATGTAAAAATTATAATTCTTATAGACCATCGTTCCAACAATAACCTCGGTAAGGGCTATTTTTATTTAGTGTTCTGTCTGACGACAGGTCCATATGAACAGGATCCTTCCATCTTTTTCTCGGACTGGGACCTGTTCATATACGTTCTTGGCAGATGATCCAGAAGTGGTTTGCCATTGCCTTCTTCTGTGTGTGAATGGAGTAATTGTTGGGATGCCACGGAGAAACCGGGGAAGCCCCCGGAGGAAAACTCCGTGTTGCCTAGACCACGGCCTTGCCCAACACAAGTTATAAATTCGGGCACCGCCGGGAATCGAACCCGAGACCCCAGGATTACAAGGCCAGCGTTCTAACCGCTAGACCACCGTGACCTCGAGGGGTCTGGACATTCTAGAATGTCACAAAATCCTACAAAACAGCAACAGCTTAACAATCCATGTATCTCAGTGCTTAAAATATCGTTTTATTGACGTAAATACTTCTATACGGAAGGATCATTCTGCAAACAAATGAAAGGAAAATGTGAAAAGAAAACGTGTATGATCCATATCAACAATGTGTTAATATGGATCGACAACAATGGTCAGCTTGCGTGCATTGTTATGTTACCTAGGAAACGTCATCTGTTTACTCGGCATTGTTGTAATTAAAGCTAATATATAAACTTCCTTTCCGTATAGACGTATTTACGTCAAATTCTCCGGAACTGTGATTCCACTGTCAATTTTTTTAAAAGAGAATTCACACAAAATTCAATTGTCGGATCCCAGATCAGACCGTCCCTGACAGACAGTGTTGGTTTGAGTAAACTCATTCACCCACTCCACAGTCATCCTGGCGCCAAGGATATGGTTCTTTATGAAAAGCATTCAATTTCCTAAATTTCCAGTCCAGTGATTTCACTATATTAAAACAGCTTTCAAGCAAAACAAAGCACTGTCGGCAACCGGAACGTGAAAGACCCCGTTCATACGTCTCAGCACAACACCTGGAAACAAAAGCCGCACAAGTGACAGGAACAATAAATAACACGCAGCTGAATGCGAGAGAAAATGTCCCTCAGCTAGTCAAGAAATTCCCCGCCTTTCATGGAGCCCGAAGGTTATCACCGTGTTCACAAACCGGTCCCCGTTCTGAACCAGACGACGTCACTCCACACCATTTCGTCCAGTTTCCTTAACATCTGTTTTTACATTATTCTACCATCTATGCCTAGACCAGCATGGGCTTTTTAGGCATTTTGACGGCAGATCTGTCGTCCTGTCTGAACACTCTTTTGCATTTCGCCGCATTCGGTAAATGTTACTGGCGTTGTGGTTTGTAACTCGATTCCGTGCGCCTGTCCTTCTGTATCGAGTGTCTTCGTGTTTACACACGTGGGCGGCCAGTGCCTTATTACCGGCTACAGCAGTTTCCTGCGTTTCCCTCACGTTCCACGTGATAAACGAGGAGATCCGCGAGAAAATCTCCGTGGCACAACATTCTCGCGATTTACGAAGTCCATGTACCACCTGCTTTAACAATCAGCGAGTCTTAATTTTGTATTGTGCGTTTCGTTGATTTTTAGTGTAACCAGTGATTATTTCCTTGAACAGCGTTAACCAGTTGATCGTCGTAATGGTGAAGTGTCGTGTTTTCTTCGCGGTACGGACTGGATTCTTAAATATTAATCAGATTATTCTCATCGTAACCAGCGATTATTTCCTTGAACAGCGTTAACCAGTTGATCGTCGTAATGGTGAAGTGTCGTGTTTTCTTCGCGGTACGGACTGGATTCTTAAATATTAATCAGATTATTCTCATCGTAACCAGCGATTATTTCCTTGAACAGCGTTAACCAGTTGATCGTCGTAATGGTGAAGTGTCGTGTTTTCTTCGCGGTACGGACTGACTATTTAAATATTATTCAGACGAGTTTCGTTAAAAACTGCATCCGAGTTGACCTTTTTTCCTTCTTCAAATGTCTCACCTCTCCCAAACACAACCAGCATCACCCCAAAAACTAAACGGGTTTCCGAATAAAAGAAGCAATGACTCTCATGTCATTAAATGAGTAAAGATACAATGAAGATGAATGAAAGGGTACAAAAGAAAATTGCAGTTCACAGTTCATTTTGTCGATTTACAACGTCCAGACATGGAGCAGGTTGCTTGTCGTATTGAAAGCAATGAACTCAGTTATTCCCAGATGTAAAATGTCAGGCGAAGAGAAATAAACTGGAACTTTTATCTAGAGACCTTGACATTCCACAAAGCTGCCCTTCTGGCTAGAGCAACTTGGGGCGAAGACACAATGTGAAATGGAAGTATACAAAACGATTCGTATACATCGGTGAACAGGCCCAACGTGCAGTTGTTCTTATCCCGTTTATTTAACGACGCTTGTCATCAGCATGCGATACACGGAGTCCAGTGACAGGATAACTGCCAATGATAAACTGGGAAGGACATGGTTAGCACTCCCGCTTTGTATTCGGGATTTGCCAGCTATGCCGGCACGTGGTTTTCCTCGGTTCCTTCAAGCAAATGTCGTGACAGTACCTTGAAACAGGCCACGATCACTTACTCCTACATCAATACCCGTTCATTTATAATCCTATAATTTGACGCTGTATAATCTGAGCTACTAAATCAAAAATAAATAGATAAATATATAAAAATATATCCGATGGTTTACGATTCCTGAAAGCGTTCGATCGTGACTCGTT